TAATTATTATTATTTTAATTTCTTCATCTTTTTTTTTTAGATTTGATCTTTATTATTTTGACTATTATTTATTTTATTTGAGATAATTTATGAAATTATTTTTTTTCAATTTCATTATTATTCAACTTTTTAATTTGTAAGATCTATTCCTTATTATTTTATTAAACTTGAGAAAAATAAAATATTAATAAATTATTTTTCAGTTCATTTTCTATAACATAACCAAACACTGGAAAGTGTTTTCCAATTCATTTTCCATAACACTGCCAAACATCGGAAAATACTTTACTTTTCAGGAATTCATTTTCCCCGGAATTCACTTTCCCCGGAATTCGCTTTCCAAAAGGAAACAACTTTCCTGCAAACAAACGGGGTCTAGATGGCTATTCAGGTTATAATCAAATTGAAATTGCATTGGAAGATCAAGAGAAGACTACTTTCACATGTCCATTTGATACTTTTGCATATCGAAGGATGCCTTTTGGATTATGTAATGTGTTTTATAATAACAAGTTTGATACCATAAGGTACCTTTAATTTATGGTAAATGTTCATCCTAAATGCAGGCCTATCATATAAATAAAAGGATTGATTGATGAGTGAAAGGACAAAAAGAGGGTCAAACTTAGAAAAGAGATGCTGGTGTAATCCAAATTGGAACATTATTAGGTTATTGGGTCATATTTGGAGTTGTAGATCTTAGATTTAGATCTACTATATATGGATGGAAAGCTAACACATAGGCCTAAAACTTTTATGGTGAAGTCAAACTCAATTCTGCTATTTGGAAGTTAAAATTTTAGCAACAATATAGAAGTTCGAATCTGTCCTGCAGCCTAGACACTATTCAGTTTTCAACCCATATCTCGAGTTCCAGAAGCCCAAATGACCTCAATTTTTTTTTCTAGAAAGCTGAGACAATTTCTTAGAACTTTCATGTGGAAGTTTGGTTCAAATTCTAACATTATCAATGACGTTTTATTCAAACAAGAAGATAAGAATTGTCACCAAGTCAAGATGTGGCCACCCACTCATCAATTTATCATCAAATCAATAGTTCCCAATTTTTGCCTATAAAAGGAGGCATTTGTCATGCATTAAGGCATCTTGGTTTCCAAATCAAATCATGCTCTTGCTTTCTCTCTTTGTATTTTTGTAATGCTTAAGTTTTGCTTTCATTAATATCTTATTCATGCCTTTTATTTCCTTTTCTTTACTTAGTTAACTTTTATCTTATTTATGTTCTTATCTTGTTTATTTATGTTTCTCTCTTTCATTATGTAACCTGAATTGTTTTGAGTCTCTTGCATTTTCTTTCTTAATCCCCTTGTAGTTCTCTCAATCTCAGGATTATAAGGTAGCAACGACTGGTTTTTGTCGCTTCTCATGCACTAGACAACACACCTAAAGAGCTGAAGACAAAAGGAAATCAAATTAGATCAAATTTAATTTATATTGATATTATTAGTAATTTCATCTAAAATCCTCGGCAACGGTGCCAAAAACTTGTTGGTTAAATTCACAAGTGCACAAATCATAACAAGTAATAAAGTGATGAGTAGAGTATCGTCCCCCAAGGATTTGTAAAAATTACTACTAATTACCAAAGTCTTTTAAATTATGATCTATTTGAGGAATTGAATAAGATAGTTTATGAACCAAAAATTAATTATTAAAAACAAACAACTAATTGATTAAATATTAATGAATTCAATTATACTGGTTCTAGGATTTTTGACTTACCGTAACTATACCTATGTAAACTTTCTTTATTAAATTAATTACTCCTAATGTTGATAATCAATTTTTCCTTATGTAATATTAATCTCTCTCGAGCATCAATAAATTATTTCGACAAATAAATTTCATATACTCTACGAAAGTTCTGAACTTGTCAAAATTTATTAAGTACTATAAAAGCTATAACGATTATAAAAGTTCCTAGGATATTTCTATCCTATAGATTTTTTAAGGTATTTCAAACAATAGATTGCTAAAATAATTATCACTTCTTAGTTTCAAATTGAATTCTAAATCATGTAGATGTTGGCCAAACATACACAAGCATTACACATAGAATGAAATACTCAACAACTTCATGTAATAATTCAATCGAAAAAATTGTTCACATATTCATAGTAAGGTTACATAAAAAAATCCCAGAATAAAAGTCTACTCTATAGTTAAATTAAATAGAAACAAACTTGATACGATGAGCATCACTCAAAAGTAGAGAATTGTAGTGGAATAGATAGGTGTCCTCCAAATCTTCTATGTTTTTGCCTTTGCTTTTCGTCCCTCGTTTGTGCTACCTCTTTCTCTTTTCTTTAGTCTTTTTTAGGGTTTCTCTATGTATGTCTCATCCCTCTTGCAAACCCTTTTTTTTCTTTTATATTGTGGCCCTTTTTTTCCCTGCTGGAGTGAAGATAGTTTCTTTTTCTGATTTGAATTCCTTCCTACCAAGACATTGCGGACCAAATTTGAGGTAGGAAATGTGCGAATTCAAAAATCTATATTTCTGGAGAAATTGTAGAAAATTAAATCTTCTTTCCAACAACACCGATCTTGTAATTTTTTGACCTCTGATACTTGAGATAAGGGCCATAAACCGAGACATTATTTTAAGTGTATGAAATTCAAGTCTGATTCAATCAATGTTCGATTTTACTGTCGGGTTCTGTTTGCTTAGTAACCCAGTATCTAAAAATGAATTAATTTCTTACAAGGTCAATAATTCAAAAAGGGATTCAAAATTCTAATTATCTTGTGCAACACATCCAAAATATTTCAAAATCAAACATGAATAGTGGAAAATATACATGCTAAAAATTCCCTTATCATTCTTCTTCTTCTTCTATTGTTATTATTACTATTGTTATTGTTGTTGTTGTTGTTTATAATTTATATAATTCACCTACTTGTGATTTGACCTAGGTCTTGCCGGGTTATTTATTACTTCGACACTCCTGCACTTGGGAAAAGATATCAATCTTTTAGTCATGTCAAGCCCACTATTATGGGTCTAATGTTACTCCAACATAAATATATTCTTGACATTCTCACTCAAGCGGGTATGACTTCTTATAAACCGGTTGATACTCATGTCTATACCTCTAAAGTCACTATACTATCGGATCCTCTGTTTTCTAACCCTACATGGTTTTGTCAAATTATAGGTGCCCTCCAATATATCACCTTTACAAGACCTAATATCTGCTTTGCGGTTAACATAGTCTATTAGTTTATGCATGCTCCTATAGATTCTCATTTGGGTGCTGTTAAATGTATTCTGCATTATATATACGGTACAACCACCTATGGTTTACATATCACTCGCAATTCTTCCTTTACTCTCCATGGTTTTATAGATGTGGAATGGGCAGGTAGTACTAATGATTACAAGTCCACAAGTGGTTATCTCATCTTCTTTGGTCAAACTCCTATCTCTTAGAAATCTAGTAAGCAACGAATAGTTGCTCGCTCCTCCACTGAGGCTGAGTATAAAGCCTTGGCTGATGGCACTACTGAGGTTATCTAGCTTCAGTATCTATTGCGAGATCTACACATTCTCTCTACCTTTGCTATTACTTTTTGGTGTGATAATCTAGGCGTTACTTACTTATCTACAAATCTTATTTTTCATGCTCGCATAAAACACGTTGAGGTTGACTATCATTTTGTACAAGATAAGGTTGTAAAGAAAGAGATTCTGATTCGTTTTATCCCCTTTCATGATCAATTTGCCGATGTTTTTACTAAGTCGCTTCCTACTGCTCAGGTTGTAAAGAAAGAGATTCTGATTCGTTTTATCCCCTTTCATGTTTTTACTAAGTCGCTTCCTACTGCTCCATTTATTGCTTTCTGGTTCAAGTTTCAGGTTGATCCTCTACCCTCAGATTGAGCGAGCATATTAATGTACTATATAGGAAATATACTATATAGAAAATATTGTAGTCATATTTTTGTGTTATAACCTTACCATTACTATTATATATTGCCCTATACATATATATAAAAAAGGTTGGCTAACCAAGAGGTTATGCCTCCCAATTATTCTCAACTAGGATTATAATAATTTTTTTTCTTGTAACTCAATGTTAAATTATCTTAAATTATATAATTATAAATTCAACTTAATTGTGCTAGTGCATAATGTTATACTTATTATACTTTTGTTGTAGATTATACTAATATTATCAAATAATTTATAATTATAGATTTTGATTTGAATCTTAAATATTATAATTACATACATGATGTTACATTAAAATGAATTATAATAATTGTGATGAGATGTGTTAAGAAATGATGAGTCTATTGGACATTAATTGAGATTTGATTGATGGGTATATCAAAGTACTGCAGGTATTTGTTGATAAATTAGGATACCTCGGGGTGTGTGTGTATGAAATGTTTTTTTAATTTTTTAATAAGAGATATATATAGGGTATACAAGGTAAAGTACTCATAAATTAATTTTATATTGTTTAGATTTATTAGAAAATATTTTTTTTAAAAAAAAAAACAAAAGTAAGGTCTCCAATTTAGAAGTTGTTTCCTGAGAAGATTGCAGCGAAACAATAGGCGTCTGGGTGAGCAAATAACTCGTAAGAGATAAAGATTCTGCTTCTTGTGAGTTAAACCACAAGTGACAATTTCGGTAAAATTGTTGGGTATTTACTTAAGAGACAGGGGCAATAGCTCTAACTAAAAAGAGCCGTTTAGAAATCACCTCAACCTTATTCATAATTACTTCAAGGCCTTGCCCAGCTGCTCTCGAGAGTCTTTTCACATCTATGTCCTGTCCATCTGGCAATTTCCCCTGCAAAATCTCCATAATCTTTTGACAACTATTCAATTCAGCGATGATAAGAAGTTCGCAGGAGCTCAAACAGTACCTTGTACACTGAGCCAAAACCACTGGCAGTATCGAAATTCCCGGCCGCAGCTATAAGCTTTTCTAAATTGAACAAAGGTATTTCTTGACGTTTAACTTTGTTCAAGCTGTCCTGGATTATATTTTTATCCAATAGCATCTGCTTCGTAATGTTCAAACGACTTAAATTAACTTAAAGTAATTCTTTTATTGAAATATAATCAAATCATAGTAAGTTTAAAGTAAATTTTTTATTTATATAAATAACTTGAGACAAAAATAACTTAAAATGATTTCATTTAAAAATAACTCAAAAACGACTCTTTCAAATAAATTTGTTAAAAATCTAACTTCCACTCAATTTCATTACAATTTGCTATTCAAGTCAAAAGTTATTTTTACTTTTTTATAGTCAAAATTTCAAAAATGACTTAAATTATATCAAACATGAACTTATTCCAAACAAGAAATTATCTGCAAATTCCTATTAAGCAGAGGTGGAAGTTAAACAACATTGTTCTTACATTAGAAATTCTAATAGATAACGACATAAGATCTACGAAAGGGATGAAACAGTGAAATGCATAACACACTTGTATTGATTGCAGTAGCCCTAGAATTACTCCTCCACTTCAACATTTTACCCTTCTTGTCTGTCTTTCTGGTATCTTTTATGCATGTTCGTCTTCTCCTGCAAAGCCCCCTTGTAATGGATTATGCAGCTTTTTTAGATGGCACCTCAGCTTTGTCGCATCTGATAGCTGAAGAGGCTTCAGCAAGAATTCTTGAGCTCCTCCCTCCATGCACCTGTTTAGGTGGAAAATATTTAACAAATCAATGATTTCTTTTCCTCTATGCAAGTAAATAGACAAAAGACAAAAAATCAAAAGAGATTAAACAAGACTGAAATTGATGAGCAGGTAATTACTGATTAATCCGTGTAGGGATGTTCTCAGATGACACTACAACCACCGGTATCTCCTTCATGGTAGGTGATTCCTGTTTGAGAGTAACCATACAATGTTATGGTTAGTCTAATATACTCTCTAGTTAATCTGATAATTATAAATGAAGTTATTATATTTATATAAATATATATTTATTATTATAAGAAGTTTAATTTATTTTTAATATTAATATAATATTGTATTAATAAATCTAGAGTAAAACTAAAGTCCATAGGGTAAAAATATTTTGTAAAAAAAATTATAAAGTTGTTATAATTATAAAATTTATATTGCATCAAAGTGTTGTTTTTAAAGTATTCTTAGTCGATACTCTCTTAAATATTGGACATTCATTAAAGTTGTAAAGATTAGTACATATTATATTTTTTTTTATTTATAAAAAAGTAGTTATTCTCATAACTAAGGGATAAAGAATATCTAAAATTAATATGTAGATGCTTATTATTAGACATGTACACTAGATTGACTCGCATAAGAATTTCATAAAAAAAACACTTATGTATATGGAAAAACTCACGTGAAAGTTGTAGATTACAGTTTAAGGCCTAATAATTGAACTGCTTGTAGTTTGTGACAATTCAGTCTTTAAAAAATTATTTAAAACCAAAAAGATTAAATTTTCAAATAATAAATTTCTAAATAATTTTAAATTTGTCTAATAAGATCCTAGAGAGTTTTAAAAAATTTTGTTTTATAATTTTCACCGTATATAATATTTGAAAAGCCGAACCATTAGATCTTTGAAAAGCCGAACCATTAGATCAGAAAATACAAAGGAAAGTTGTGGTAGGAACTAGATATCCATTGAAGATGAGTAATTATTTACCTTAATTCTTTTCAATAGCTCATAGCCAGTCATTCCTGGCATACTATAATCGGTGATGATCATATTCACCTTCAAATCCTGCTAAGGGAAATACCCATGAACAACAAATGATGGAGTTGAATTCATAAAACCAAGAATCAGACCTTCATTGTATGGTTTCTTACACTATGATTGGGATGTTGTCCATCAGCTAAGCCCAAATACTCCAATGCTCTCTTTCCGTTTTCTGCTGTGGTCACTACAATCATAGGAACCAAATTGTGAATCATAAAAACTTTAGTCAAGTCTCTAAAACTCAAGACTTCTTTCTCTCCTTGCTAATTAATTGAGATTAATTAAAAAACCGTGGATTTGCAATGCTATGAGTTATTTTCTAGAATACTCTAACCTTTTGCCACCTCTAGCATCCAAACAAATGGATCCCTAACCAAAAAAAATACCAGAAATGACAGGATATTCTTTTTCTTTTCAATTTCCATAAAAATAAAAGAAAAAAATGTGGGGTCTAGTCCTTGTTAATCTCCACTTTGGTCATGAGTTCTCATACATTTGTCACCGTGATAACTTCCATGGTGCCATAGCTAACTTCTGACAGTAATAGTCATGTTCTCCATTAAATTAGCCCTAATCTAGCCTAGGAATGAGAGCCTAGCTAGCATTTGCAAATGATGATATTACTCTAATTAGACAATATATTATTAACAAAAACACTATTTTATCAAAAATCATATCTCTTTCTAATCTTAATCATACAAAACCATGGATAGAAACTAGAGAATTAAGATATATTGTTCACCAAAACCCCATGAAAATGAAAATAAAAATATGATAAAACATGTTATAGCTAGAAATTTTTGTTTGATTAACACATTATACCAAATGAGCAAAGTTTCTATGAACAAAGAGAATAATAAATAAAAAGAGACCAAGACATTTTTATTCTTTTCATACCTCTGCATGTAGAGTTGATAAGTAACCTTTCAATGACTTTGCGGTCTATGAAACTATCATCAACAGCTAACACATGTGGTTTCTCATCAAAATCAAACTCCATTGATGGTAAGGAAGAAGAAGAGCTGGCCATATCTATTATCAAAAAACACACCACAAGGTCTAACCACCTCAACAAAACACAAAAAGAAAAGGAACCTTTGAGGAAAAAAGAGAAAACAAGCAAGCAAGAAAAGAATGCCAAAAGGAGAACAAACAAGACAAGAAGAAAAACAAGGCAGCTAGGGTAACGTAATGTAATGTGATAATCCTTGTCAAGTCAATACAAGCTATGACAGGGGATACTTATATATCCATATCCTGACTTAGCAAATAGTGAATTTATAGTAAAATATGAAGGATAATAAGAAAAAGTAAAGAATAAGAGGGTGAGGTGAGCTCATTATTATCATTATCAGAGAAGAATAGTAAACAAATCCTAAAAAAATCATGAGTCAGAGATAATTGCTACTCTTTTTGGTCCTTAGGATTTGATTGCTGCAGTAAAAGTGAAATAGATACCTTCTTGTTTTTGTTTTTCCCTTTCTTCAAGAGATCTCCATGCTCAAAACCATTGTATATTTTAACACACTTGTACGTACTTCCTATTTCATCTCCACACAGACAACACACAGTTGTTCAAATATTATTCCTTCATACCTTCCTTGTAGGGCTTCAAATATGCATTCCATGCATATCTATTCATTTTTCTTTTACCCCTTCTTTAGAATCTTAATTACACCACTTCAAATCATAAAAGTATTAACTTAATTTTAAAAATAAAAGAATATAATAAATCTATTTAATCACAAGGCCAATCCTTTTAGATTTGTAACCTAGATCTATGTACCTCATAACATGGTATTATATTTGTAACACAATATTAATATTTATGGAGTGAGTTGATGACAAATGGTACTGGCGTTGTCTTACAAAGAGGTCTCATTTCCATATATTATCAATTTGCTTGTAAGACTTAGAAGAGAATCTAGTATAGTATGCTGTAAGAAGGAAAAATGTATATATATGGGAACATGATTGGGATAATGTTTTAAAGACTTTTTGAATTTTGTTAATTTGAGTTTTTTTTTATATTTTTGAATCATTTTGATATATTAATATCAAAATTAAATTAAAAAAAAAACATGATACATATATTAATACATTTTAAAATAAAAAATACTTTAAAAAATAACCGTAAAATCTCAAATAACCATAAATAAATAACATGGTAAATAGATGTTAAAGCAATGGATGATGTTGAAAGAATTGTAACTATAATATCACAAAAGTGATTTTTGATATGCACACACATACAATAATATCATTGACTTGTACTTTGCTATGTGAGATCAATATTTTTTAAATATAAAAAATCTTTAGATATTATTAATTTTTTTCTGGTAAAAAAAATAAATCATGTAAGAAATAATCCGATATGACTCGGTCCTCTTGGTAATTTTAAATACAACCCGAATGACCTGTAAAAACATAGTTTGACACAAAATAAATATTTATAATAAGATTTTTTTAATAAACATTAAGACAAAAATGTATTTTATTGATTTGAGAAACTTAGTTAACTTTTTAATCTGCATATTAAACCATGAGATCATAATAATTTCATAAAAAGAAAAATGATCAAGTCAACCTATCAATCTGCAATTCAGGTTATGCGATTAGGATAACCTAATAAAAAGTAAATTGAAACAAATTATGAGCTTATTTCTCAATTAATTTAATTTTAAAATATGAAATTGAAAAAAAATGATTAAAAAAAACACAAAAAAATACTCGAGTCAATTAGGACTAACCAGCCATACTCGTAATCCTAGTCATTGAATGAGGGTAACCTCATAGAAAGCAGATAAAAAAAAATCATGAAGTCTAATTTATGATAAACCTAATATTGAATGATGAATTTTTTTTAAAAATAGTCAATTAGAAAAATAAACAAAAAAAACTAGAGTTATTCTGATAACTTTATAAAATATTAATTGAAAAACAATAAAACTCAATTTCTAATAAACAAAGATGCAATTGATTTTTTTTTAAAAAAAAATCATACATTATAAAAAAAACAACAATGAAGAAATGAAGGTAAAAAAACTATTATTTCTATGAACAGTAATATGTGAGAAGGGGTGTGGTAAAACTCATACTCATTTAGATTTTTGCTAATATATATAACTTTGGAGTTATTTGAAATAATAGTAAAGATTGTTTTTTAATGTAATTTTTTATTTAAAAATATATTAAAATAATTTTTAAAATTTATTTTAAACATAGCACAATAAAATAATTAAAAAACATAAAAAAGTTGATGGGTAATAATGACATGGTGATGGGTACCATTTCCTTCCCTTTAATTTAAAATTTTAAAAACATGATAAAGAATCTCTTTATCTCACCGACTTAAAGTTAATTAAAGATATTTATAATTGTAAAACTTATATAATCTCTTAAAATTAATTAAATATATTTATAGTTATAAAACTCTAATTGCCTTTGTATGTAAATTTAAAGTCTCGTTAGAGTTGAAAAATAATAATATATCCTGCAACCCCACCCTTAATTTTAAATTCAATTGAGATTGGAATCTGGAGGGAGAAGGAGACCTCTAAACATACTTTATACTAGAGAGGCCCACATGGCCACAAGCGACACAATAGGTAAGCTTTATAATTCATTACTCAGCTTAAATAAATAATGACATTTTTGTCTGCATGTGACATTTTCCCACATCACTGTACAAACAATCAATTGCTAGCTTTTACATTTCCCAATAGTTCTTTTTTCTTCAAAATAGTACTGTAATTTTTTTGAAAAAGTAGCATAAATTTAAAATTTAATTATAAAAATAGTATAATTTAGCAAGTTATAAATGACATGTAATTTTTTTTAAAAAAATTTAAAAGCAATTTTAAAATTTAGATTTTAAAAATAAATCAAACTCTATTATCATACAAACTTTATAACACAAAAATAAATGCTCTATTATTAATAAAATTGTTTAATAATCAATTATATTTGATTAATGAATCTATATTAAAAGTAAAATTTATAGAACAAAAATATTTTACACTAAAAATTACAAAATAATTTATAATTATAAAATATTTATTGCATCAAAGCATTGTTCATAAATGTTCCTAATCAATATTTTATTAAGTATGGATATTGATTAGAGTTATTAAGACTAACACATTATGTTTTTTCTTTTATGAGATTAAGTAGTTGCTCTCATAAAATGATGTATGAGTGATATATGAAACTAATATAACGGTGTATGTCAAATAACATGTATATTGAACTAACTTGCAAGAGAATTCTATATAGAGAAATCACCTATATCTATGAAAAGGTTCTCATGATAGTTGTGTAAGTGATCCTTAAACTTGAGATCATTAACTTATCACATATGAGGAATGTTATGTTTTGATTCTGACCACATGTTATCTTAACTATATGAAGGTATTTAAGTAATCAAAAGATAATTTATCACCTTAAATAAATTTAAAAAAAATGTTTCATTTATTTTCAAATAATATTGATTGCAAAATCCTTAACCAATGTGGAATAAGATTTGAAAAGAGTTTCAAATCATATTTAAACAATCAATAACTATAGTGTTGATAACTAAAATTATTTTGACAAAGGAGATATATTTCATCTTATATTGTATAAATTGAAATATTTTTAATGAAGAAATAATAATTACACTGAAAACTAGTTACTAAAAACTTAAATCAAACCACTTATGATTTTCATAATATTTGGAGGTTCATGCCAGATTGTTAGAAATTGTATTTGATCTTCAAACATAATGGGTAGCACACATAAGAACCATTTGTCAAAAGTTAAAATAAAGTGATTAATCAAGTGTGACTTGATGGTAAATAAATTTTAGAAATTGAGAACTAAAATGTAATTAATACAGAGGTTACAATTCTAAACCTAGAAAAAAACTAAATAGAGACTTGATTGAATAAATTTATAAAATTATATTAAAATAATATATGTCATATTATTTAAGAGGAAAATTAATATTTTTTTTATTTATAGGGTTTTTATGTTTTCCTATAAATAAAACGTGATGCCTCTTATAATAGTACATTATAAGAAAATATATAGAAACACCTAAACTCATTAAAAAAAGAGTTAGCACTTAAAGGTATGACAATCCCTCTCTCCCAAAAGGGTTTAGAAGACTTCTTATTGGTGGTTTGTAATGATTATTGTTAGATAGTAGACACTTGAACGACTTGTGGTTTGTGACAACCTAACTTTGAAACAATTATTAAAAGCAAAGAAAATAATAATCAAATCTTTAGATAATCTTTGTATAAACTCTAAAAAATAGGTCTAAAGGTAGACCTTCAATGTCCTCTCCTCATAGAGGAGGAGATAGTTCTCCTTATCAAGGAATCTCTCCTTGTAGTGCCTTAAGAAATCCTCAGCGGAGGAAAAGGCTATCTTAAACCTATAAGGATGATGCTTCTAGTACTTTGAATGTTGAGGAGGCGCCCTTTGTCAATAGTCAGCAACTTAGGGCCTATACGACCTAATTACCCCTTATGAAAGAAAGGATCAGTTAGGATTACATCCCCCATGTGCATGTATGATGTAACACCCTAGTATTTTAAAACCCTTTGTCATAACCCATTTTTAGGCCCTTATAAAAAATAATAAAATAAAAAAATATAAACAGTGAATAAAGGATGTCAATACGCCCAAAAAATAGGTAAAAATTGGTTGAAAGGGTTAAAAATACAAAAATTAAAATTTGACAATATTTTATTGATTGATTATAGCCCTCTTGACAAAGAAAATTCAATTTGAGTAAGAAACCCCAAAATAAAATGTTCATGGACTCAATTAAATTTTATTGAAGGTTTAATTGAATTTATGAAGAGTTTAATTGCAAGAAAAATTGATTTTGGAGTCAATTTAGGCTTTAATTAGAAGAAATTAAAGTTCTGAGGTCAAATAATAATTTTTGGAAGTTAATTTGGTCAAATCAGGGGCTTAATTGTATAAATATTGAAGTTTGATGGCCAATTGGGGACTTAATTGAAGAAATCCGAAACCAAGGACCAAAATGAAAAA